AAGAAGAAAAGATTGATTAAGTGATAGATCATCATCATCAACAACAAGTGAACATTTAAATAATAATCATACAAACGACGGTTATACTAGTACATCAACATTACCAATTTAAGCAAATCATAATTATGATTTAATACGACGTCCTTTACTTAATATTCTACCAAGAAATCGTCGTCGACGATTCTTATTACGTTTAGTTTAAAATTGAACAATAATCAATACACAATAAGAACAATTAATTAATGAAAATACTTGTTCACTTTATAAAAAAATTAGCAAAAGAACTTATTTTAAGCTATTCAGAATAAAATCTAAGTCAATATCTATGAAAATCTCTTTGAATAAAACTTCTCTGCATAGTCTATTTAACATTGGTCCGGTCGCAGTAGAAACTTGATTAGTTCGATCCTGATATATTTTGTTTTTGATATGAAGTTATACTATCGGATTGAAAGTACATATTTGGATCCAAAGAAAAAAAAGGTTTGAACTCGAGTGACTCTATTCAGTTGTTCCCTTCGTTGAGAATTTCTCTTAATGAAAATGAAATATGTTTTAGAATGTTTTCATATCTGGTTTGTCAATCAGTTTGTCGATGTACATAAGTATCCAAAGTAATAAATAAAAATGTCAATATTTTTCCGAAATATTTCTTTGATTTTTATTTTTAGTATTGAAATAGACTTCCATTAGATGGTTCAAATTGGCAAAGTATTTATTGAACAAAATTTTCAACGTCATATTTATGTAATGAGAAAAATTACAATTAATTATTTAATTTATTTCATTTTATTTTTAAAGGGAACTCTTCTTGAAAATTTAAGTTTACGATGAGGAAACTTTTTCAAAAGATTATATATTGAAAATTGTTAATTTATTACTGATCATAATATGCGCTTATTTATTATTTAAACAAAACAAAAAAAATTTTGATTTTTTTAAAAATTAGTATTCTTGACAATTTTTGTCCAATTTTCTATTAAATTGAATAAATATTTTAATTTAGTAGATTATTCTATTTGAGTAAAGATTATCCTTATTTAAAACATGTTGATATAGCATCATGTCCTCAGATTGATGATTAACGAATTAAAATAATTTGGTAGAGTTTATTGAATTACATCAAATATTTATTTTGATTATTCTCATATAATAGTTCGAGTTGTCCTAATTTGTAATGTTGGGATATATGACGGTGTATGAATATAACAGAGAATGGAATTCGAATTCTAGGTGAATCTTGTCGAAAATGAATAAATTTTAAAGGTGAAGGATCTATAGAAATAAAAATGAAGAGAATTTAAAAAGAAAAATAAGTTATTTAAATGAATTATTTAGATGACAAATAATGCAGATATTCAACTTGGAAAAAATTCTTTTAAATTATTATTTTTAGATTTAAATCGATGTTCTCTAAGATAATAAAGATTTTTTTTTCTTTTTTTTTATAATTTATAATATTTAGTCGTTAACTGATGTTTGTCTTATGTTTAGAAAACTCGATGGAACTTTATGTTGACAATTTACTGATGTCGGATTTTTAGTAATGGCTCAAGTAAAATTTAAAAAAAATAATTTTTCTTTTTATTGAAAAATTATTATTTTTAGGGTTGTCATTTATTACAAGGAGTTGATTTAGAAGATTGTAGAGTTGGACGTTTATTTTAGAGAATATCAAATTTTTATCTCGATTGAGTATTTTCACTTGATTTATAATATAGATTGATCGATGAATCAATCAATTCATTTTTTTCCGTTTTCTGCTTTGTTTTATAAAGAATTCCAGCAAGAATTTTTTTTTTCATAAGACGATATTTAGTATGGGTAATGTTGTCATTGAAGATTATAGAATACACAAGTAGAAATAATCTATTGAGAGAACTCCTTCTAATGCAATATATTCTTGAGGAATGAAAACACGAAAAGTTGTCGAATTTTATAAGAAAAATTGTGGTATATCTATTATCATCAGACAAAAGGAATTAGTCTGAAAACAATTATCTATAGATGAGAGTATCGAACAAAATAACAGTTCGGATAAGGGGTAAATCTTCTCAACTATGACTTTCGTTTTGAAAGCGTAGTTTTTTAATTATTGAATGAATGAGAGCTAATTTTCGAGTGTGCGTTATGGTTGACGTTTAAGAATGAGTTGATAATCTAGAGTAGATTATAAATCTAAAATATATCTGCATTTTCCAGTTTCTGCTAAATCTTGAACTCTTTCCACTTTTCAATAGAATCGAAAAGCATGGTCTGTGACTTCAAACAAATGCAAGAAAAGTTCGAATGATGACTTTGATTTGCTCAACTCTACTTTAGGTAGTGTAAGAACTTCTCCGATTGAATTCTATGGTGGGAAAAAAAGAAGATGACATTTCAATATAATAAAAAAAGGAAAAATTCTTTTGTTCGATTTCGTATACATCTGTAGTGCTACTTTTTCTCCGTTAAGAATATTCAAGTCTAATCTTATTTATTAATGTGAAGGTGACAATGTTGAAAAGAGACTTGAAAATAAGTTGAGAAAAAAACTAAATAAAATTTCATGTTTCTAACAATATTAATTTTTTGATGTTTTGTTTTTTTTTTCAAAATAAATCTTTTTTCTGATATATTTAATTAAACTAATCCACTTTTTTGTTTTGCTTTAAAAAGTTACTGATGAAACTTTAAGAGATTTGGCTGATAATTGTCCAAATATTCAAATACTTCTATGAATAAAATTTATTGTTTTTATTTAGATGAATAAAAAATGAAAAAATGTATGTTTTTTTAATCTTATAGACTCTCTCGATGTGAACAAATAAGAGATGAAGGTGTTCGTTATACTGGTTCGAGTGTTAGTGCTCAAAAAAATCTTCGAACACTTTGGATTGGATAGTTGTCCATCAATAAGAGATATATCTATTGATCATTTACTTTATTGTCAAAACCTTCAATGTTTAGATATATTTTATTGTCAACAAATAACAAAAATCCTGTTAGAAAAATTCAGATAGTTTTATTATTGTTCGATTATAAATAAATAAAATAACAAATTAGATGTGTTATCCAAATTTAAAAATTGATGCTTATTTTGCTCCTCGTACAGCAACACCTACAACTCGTCGTCAGGAGCCGCGCGAGCGGGGGGGTGTGGGGGGGGGTGTACACCCCCCCCAATAATTGAAAATTTTTGTTTTTTTTTGAGCGACGGGAGCAGATTTGAAACAAATTTTGTGTTTTTTTTAAGAAATTTTGCTCTAAATACCCTTTTACACCCCCCCAAAAATTTTTACATCCTTTCAAAACCTGCTACACCCCCCCCCCCCC